CTGGAAAACATGGCAAGCGGATAAGACACATTGGTATTCCGCTGCATCTCTCCACGCTGGCCTCAAGGCCATGTTGATAATACCCACTTGCTGCTTCAGGGTCACAGGTCCGAGGTTGATTGGCAACAGGCTGACATAGGGAAAAAGACTATGCTGACTTGAGCCTAATGGGGTTGAATGTATCAGCGTGGCTGGCATGTTAGCAGTGCCACAGACCTGGTTTTCCCTCTTTGCGCCCAGATGCCTACAGGTTGTCACTAATCTTTGAACCCCTCGTCTTGTCAGACACCTCTAGGCAGCTCCCGCACAGCAGCACTGCAGCACACAGCCACTTGCTCATGCCATCTCTGTCGTGCCGAATTGTTTTCCTTGCAACAACGATTGCTCTGCCTCATTTGCTTTCAGCCATACCTCCCAGCTTTTTATACCTCCCAGCCTCTGCTGTCTGCCAACTTGCCCAAATTCACTCAGCCAGAGAATCACATATAAGTGTGATCTCTCTTCCTCTCACCCTCTGTCTTTGTTGCTCTCTTTCTTTCCTAAACATTTCCACCCACTCTTACGCACATATGTTTACTCGCAGCCACACATGCACAACATGCAACCGCCTCCAAGCAATCATGCACACTCCTAAAAAGCACAGAAAACAACAGCTATTTTATACATTCATTTTTTGCCTTGGATATTCACCCATGCTGATTTGGAAGTGTCCTGCATTTCTCGACTTGCATGGAAATAGGTTATTCACCCTTTGATTATCAGAAAAGTGTCCCCCTGCACTCCCAACGCAGCAGCATCAAATTTGGATGCATGACAGCACCATAAAAATTTCTCAGCGTGTCTCTAAGAAACAACATTACAGATAATCCGCTGTCAGCTTGTAGACGCTGTGCATACAGGAGGTTTACAGTGGCTAAAGAAGCAGATCCTGAACTATTTTTTCCCTAATCTGTCTGCTCACAATTCTCAGAAATGACAAGACAAAAACTGGATTTACACTACCTTGTTTTAATGTACGAGATCTAGTAAGATTTCTAAACATTTAAATATCATAATATATCTATACATATATTTGGTATGAGCTGTTGCACATATGCCCATCAGCTGCCATGGATACGTTTACTACAACATTAATTTAAAGCCTCTTTCCAAGCTGGGACTGGTGCTCCTTTGTTGCACATTGTGTCATGTGTCCACACAAACAGAACAAAGAGGTTGAAGTTGATGCACTGCTAATGAACCCCTGAGCCAGAGGAGAAGTAGACTTGATTTGGAAACAGTTGGAGGCTGATCCTCTTCTTTTAGGCATGTGTGAAGTATGTGAGAGGAAAGCAGCAGGTTAAGGACTTTTTTTTAACAGCCGTTAGGCACAACAGTTAAATCTAAATGGTATGATGGTGTATGTTAAGGGAATTGCCTTTAGGCCTGCCTCATTAATGGGCTACTGACATGTGCCAAGGATGACTCACACCAAAAAAGACAAAAACAAACCATTAAACACAATGAAGATGAAGATATTAACGTTTTATGATTATGTTTTTCTTCTGTTTTTTTTTTTTTTCTACAACTGGAGAGTGAGTATAGATGCAATGAAACATTCAAAGTCTTACGACAGCCATCCTACGTTTAATGGAAAGACAAAAAAAACCATCAGGAACAGTTTTATAAACCTTAAGAGAAGTTCCTTTATGGTCCTGCCAAAGCCGAGACTTGAACCTGGTCTAACTGACTCCTTACTGAAGCTCCCCATTCAGCTTAAGAAATGAGATAAACTTCCAAAGATTGTATTCCAAGAAAAGAAACTACACTTTTCATTCGTACAGAGCTGAAACCAGTGATTGGAAAACTTTAAAATAACTAAAAAGATAAAATCTCCACATCAGGGAAACTGTGTTTTCAGTCATGAACAATCACCTTTGAACCTGGAAAGATCTTTTACTTTTGATTTAGATGCATCTGAAGGACTTAAACCTTGAAAGGCTGGAGGGTATCCTTCCTGTCAAGAAATAAGGATCAAAAGAAGATAGCAACATATTATCCTTAAGCATGTGGCACTCGTGCTTCTATTCAAGAACTGTGTGAACGCGTTCCCCCTTGAGCAATGCATGGACCAGAAGGAGCACTGGTGTGGAACAAACTTTGTCAGCACATTCAGACATAGCAGGTCCGAAAGGGAGGAACCTTGGAAATGGTGCTGGTTGCCCAGAGCTTTCAGAGCTTCAGGAGGTCTGGGAAAGTGGGACTTCTGTCTTATTCATTGAGTAAGAAAACATTAAAATGAAGACATAATCTGGCTGTAGAGGAAAATCAGAGAAAAAAAAATAAAAAAAATAAATAAATAAAAAAATAAGCGGGGCGGGCAGAAATCTAAGGAGGGAGAGGTGATTACCCCTTACAGACTGGAACAGAAAGAGGATGGGTGAGTAAGTAAGAGGCAACACAAACCATCAGTTAAACATCGATATGCGCTCCCCTCGGAACACTGCTTAAGCGGAGGAGGAAGTTTACACACCCCTGGTCAAAATGTCTGTTTCTGTGAATTATTAAATGAGAATATTAGTTTTCTCCCAAATGGCGCGGGTTAAAGCTGAAACATTGTTTTTCACATTTTAATTAAGATTACTTAAAAAATCTTGTACAATTTTTAATTGGAAGGGTGGCAAATGCAAATGGAATGGCATCAGAACCCAATAGATTTGAACCATTGATACCTTTTTCCAATGACAACAGAAAAAAGCCTCTTGCTGACATTGAGAAGATTTGAAATCCCTAAACGACCGAAACTATTACATTTATGAAGCAGGTGAAACAAACAGATCCAGCAATTTGCACCTGTTGCTGCATTGACTTCCACAAAATAACAAGGAGCTTCTTTTTGTGCTAATTAAAGTTTAAAATGCAATGACTTATACAAAAGAACAATGTCCTAAATGCACCTCAAATTTGAAAACAGGCTGCCTATTAGAATTTTGAGCTGACGTTTCTGCCACCATTGTCATAGTCCTCGAAAACATCAGTACCTCTAAAGAGCACTAGTTCATGCATGGCAAAAGTCAAGCTTATTTGGCTTAGAATAGACAAGATCATTTTTTTTTAAACTTCATCTTATGAATATTTCATTCATTGTAATTCCTTAGATTTCCCCCAAAATATCACAAAGCTAAAAGCTTTTTGGTTATAAATACAATTTGAAGCCAAATAAACGGGCGGAAGAAATGTTTGCATTTCAAACATGTACTTTTCTGTGGAAGATTAAATAAGTGTGTGGTCCAGAGTATTAGACTCTGCAAGATAAAGGGAAAAAAAGTGTTTATTCTATGAATCAGTAGGCTTTTAGTCATAAAGTAGTCAAAAGGGAGAGAAAAATATGGATCTTGAATGAAAAGACTTCTGGTCGAGTTATTAACCTCCAAACCAACATTCTATCATCCTGTTCCCTTCATCGGAATGCCATTTGCATCATGTCAAATCTTGTTGTCTTTAACAGGAAGTATATTACAGTCAAGCATTTGCAAATGCTACGATGAGTCCGCTATTGGGGCCAGGAATGATCTGGTTTGGCATTTCTATGTAATCCACAGGTTAATAAGGGAAAGGTTAGGGGGGTTTGCCAAGAGGAAGAACATTTGGGGTTGTTTTTACCATGTAGAGACAGGAACAAAAGAAGGAATGTACGATTTGATTTTGGATAATCAGCATACACAGTATGAATCACAGAGTAAAAAATGGGCCTTCATTCTGGAAGAATGTGTTGTTTTGATCTCCTGAGCCACTTGCCACTGTGTGAATAGCCCCAGTAATACAAGCAGAGCTAACGCTCATGCAACAGTTTGTCAAGGATTGTGCCCCTGTGGTTCAGCTTCATTATAATTTACATTTATTTTGCTGCATTTGATTTAAATGACTACTGTTGTCCATGTTTAATCCATGTTTAACTCAATTAAAAAAAACAAGAAAAAAAAGGAGATGTTGGTGTCATTTGCTTGGTTGATAAAGACTACTTTTTTACTTCAAAACTGTCATTTTACTGGTCGATCTGCATTTCAACCCGTGTGGTCATGACTGAGGGACTGAGGTCGTGAATAGAAGTGGCCAAAATTAACTTCATTGAGAGGGTAGTTGAACTCACTGTTATGGGCAGCGTGAGGCGCTGAGTCATCTGGGAGAGGCTCGGAGTAGAATTAGTGCTCCTGTGCATAGTAATGAGCCAGGTGAGGTGGTTTCGGCACCAAGCCAAGATGCTTTCCAGACGTCTCCATTGGGAGGTGTTATGCGGACCAAGTACCTGCTGGAGAGATTATATCTCTCAGTTGCCTGGGGAGTGCTCTGGCGTCCCTCTGAAAGAGCTGGTGCCTGAGAGAGGAAAGTCTGGGTTTTTCTGCTTAGACTGCTGGCCCAAAATTGACTATATGGCATAAATTGGATGGATGAACGCTTGTTTCTCGGCCGATCTTCAACCCGATTCAACTGCAAGCTAATGCCGAAAATTGAGTCTTGTTCTTTTTTTTATGCTACTCTCTGTAGAAGATTACCCCCCTCTGAGCTCTATAAGTGAAGCAGAGCTCAACTAATACATATCAGACAGTGACGCTGATGACACCTAATAAGGAAATAACAATCAAATTAGGTGCACAGAACAGCCGACACTGAGGGATATCAAGCCACGCAACTTGACAGAAATGTACGATTTATTGCTGCTTTGGTGGTATGCGTCTAGAATCCGAAAGGATATTATACTTAATGAATTCATATTTTCCTGGCTGGCAGAAAGCGGTAAAAGTTGTTGCTTCTGAGGAGCAGCAGCTTGACTTTGATCTGAGGCGAGCGAGCGCTGAGTAAACCGTTTACCTGTTGGTAGATGTCAGATAAAGATCATGCAAGTTTTCAGTTGAAGCTAAAAACTTTTGCTCTCTGTGCTGCTGTCTGTTTCCTCTGTAGATCCCCAAGCGCTTAATGCCATTTGCACCTTTGTTGACATAAACACCTGCCACCGAGGATCCTTGCCAGCCGCCACTCTTCTCCCATCTCTTGGCTGCCTCCGAGAAACCCCGTCTTCCGGTCTTTTGATCCCTGTCGCCATGGAGAACCTGAGTGAACTCCAGAACCCACTGCTGGACAAAAACAGCAAGCACATGGTCAATGGTTACGGGGGAGACTTCCCCAACAACCAGTACCAGGAAAACATTATCAATTACTTTGCTGGAGGAGGAGGCGGAGGTGAGGGTGGAGGAGGAAAAGCGAATAACGGCAGTGTAGTGAGCGGGGGAGGTTACCATACCAACGGGAAGATGAAGTCTCAGCAGTTTCTGGATGCCACCTCGCTCCATCTGGCAGTGGAGGCCTTCTACCGGCCCAACTTCATCCTGTACAAGGAGGACAGCGGCAGCATCAAGGCCAAGGAATACAAAAGCGAATGCTGTGAGACCACCTTCACAGAAAAGAAGGGCAAGGAAGTGTCCAGCACGGCCGAAACATCTGCCACCGAGGATCCTCAGACCAAGCTGCTGGAGGACGGCGAGCACGTCAAGATCCAAACTGTCTCCTATGAGGTGGAGGAGGAGGAGTACGTGGAGTACGAGGTAAGAGAGCAAATATTAGAATTTAGAAAACAGGCGATATCAGCACCAGAGACCTACTTCTTTGATATTAAGTGTCAAGCTTGATTTTTCAACACTTAATCTTAGATTTTTGACAATGACCACAATCTGAAGCAGACATTAGACAATTATAGGTACTTGAATTTATACAGCTATGGCTTTTTTTCTAAATTGGGTTTGGTGTAGTAAGAGTTATGCTTTATTCTGTTGGCTCCACTGCTAAGTTGACCATGCAGCAGCTGGACATTTTGTGGAAAGACATTTAAATTAGCTACTTTCATGATCGCAATTAAGACGATCATGAGAGCGTTTCAAGCTGATTTTTCTTTCTCTGAACAAGTTTCTTTTCAATAAGGGCATTTTCAACAAAAAGCCTGTTTTTGGGCGAATAACCAAGCTAATTCCAGCTTGCATGCTTTTAGTGTGTGCTTGGATTCCACTGGTGTGCATACACTTACTGTATATCCTCACATCAAAGGATCAGGCTCAACTCTTTTATCTGAGTGACACTTTTCTAAGCGCAAATCCTATTTGATCCACTGACCCTGCCCTCAATTCCCAACACTGCTAAAATTCACAGTTAGATCATAATAAATCACCCATGCCTGCCTCACCCAGTGCTATATTTTTACTGTGAAACAGCACAGTCAATAGCACAAAGCACTCCAAAGGATTTGGAGGATTGAACTGGCAGAATTTGGAGCTCAGAGTTGATCGGTGTCCTGTAACACCTAATGGACTTTCTGGCATGCTCTAAAGTCGACTAAAAAAGGCCTGGATGTCTGCAATGAATATGCAGCTGCAGAAATACGACGTGACACGTTTGTATGTGGCTGCTAAGCTCTCTAACTTTAACTCATGCACAGACACAATCTCTGCACACGCTCCTGCCGGCTCCTTTCCTCCCGTTCAAAGGTTAAGTGAAGGCATTACCATAATGATCGTGCTTTTTCACTAGTTTCCTGCTCAGCAATGAACAAGTGCTTAAAAATAGCCTCATCGGGCCGCAAAGCCAGTTTTGAGATGTAAAAAGGAAAATACACAGTGGAACTCATTATGTAGTCTCCCGGTGGAGAACATTGAGATCCCAAAGTGTGCATTGTCTTTTAACTTCCCTGCCCACAGTTTGACACAGAGCAAGGCTTCAGACTAGAAAGCCTCTCTGCAGACGTTCACCGACTGGTTGGCCTTCAGCCTCGGAAATAAAAAAGTTATACAAGCTTTATTCACTATACAACCTTGATTTCTGCTGCATGCCAGCACACATAGCACATAAACACATTCTGCATTGGTCTGCAATATTGATTGTTACGCATCTTGCAGATTTCAGATTTTCACTGCCCTTAAAATGTTAATTGATGATTCTACAGACCATGATATTAATTCCATTAAATCTGCAGTCTCAATATTTTATTTTGTCTTTACTGCATTGGTAGTAAACACAATGTTTGCCATCCCAGTAATTTGCCTTCTTCTTGGGAATGAAACCCACCTCTATGCCAAGTTTTTCTCTTTCACCCTCAATATCAGCAACTTTTCTTGGATGCTGCTCAGATCTTTCTATCTTATGCTTTGCAGTAGTCCTGGCTTCTACAGTCTACTTCACTAAACTCTGCTAAATCCGGCTCCAACGCTGTTTGCAGTCTGCCCTGCAGACAGGATCACAGACAGCAGATAAGTCAGGCCAACAAAAATAATTCCTCTCCAAAGTTAGGCCCACTGAAAGAGGTTAACTGCCATGACTGTATGGCTATATATAATGTTTTGGTATAATGATGACTTTGAATTGTTTATGTCCTTCATTCTATTAGTTGTTGAATCTGAATTTATTTTCCTCATATTAGTTTCTCTGTGCTTTGGTTGATTCTGTTTAGTGTTTTTAGTGATTTAGTAAGTTTTTGTTTCGAATAAGGATTTATTCTCAGTTTTTTCTTGGTTTATTTGCCTTTTTATTTATTGTGTATTATGTTCCACATTATTACGGGTAGCTGTCCACTGCAGATTTTATGCTCCTTGGTTTGTCTTTGCCTTTGTCAGATACTTGCTGTGGCTGTATCTTTGCTTGTATTTTGGTTGGCTTTGTAGGTTATTCTCTGTTCTATACTGTTACTGTCAGGTTTGGGTGGTATTTCCTTGACTACGCATCTATAGTTTCTGTTTTTTAAGAAACCACCACTTATGGTTCAATGACTCTTCAACAATCTGAATAATTGTTTTTCAAGTGCAACTCTAAGTTGTATTCTGGCATGTATTACATCTAATATTATCTATTAGAGATTACATGTGTTTAGAAAAGTTTGAAAATGAACTTTGATTAAAAATTATGAGTTTTTTCTCTTTGTCAGCACTTGAACTGCCTTGTTTTTGGATGGATAATCAAATTATCTGCTTCCGATTACTGTTTGCTTGTCTTTCAACCCTTCAGTTTAAAAAACTGGATGTGGGATGAAACAATGAACAAGTCCAGATCTCCGTAGTTACTCAGCAGTAAAATGCACAGCATGTGCTGCTTGGTTCCAAACCTTGGAAGTAGGTTTGAGGAGAGGATGACAGCTGATGCCTCATGTTTTTACCCAGACTGTGAGCTCAGCCTGACGGTGTTATGACTTGGCGGGTTTCACAGCACTGTCAGCTCGTGAGCAGTGACACTAAAGATGAGTGTATAATGGTGATGCCTCAGATAAGACACTTTAGCAGGACTTCTTTGTTTGATTTTTTTTCTTAAATCTAAAGTGAATCAATACAACCAAAAAACTTTTAAGTCCTGTGTGCATGACCATTTAAAAGGAACACAACCACATAGTCAACTCGAAGACTTATTTCCCCACAGTTTTGCACCAATGACAAATGGCAAGGTGGCTTGACAGTGCCAGGAGCAGAATCCCCAGGAGTCTGAAATGAGAACGCTAATTAGTGGCCTCACTACTCCACTGAAGCATAACCAGATTCACCCAGGAACTCTCAGGAATTCATGATACGCCATTCAGAAATGGAGATGGATGGATGGATGGATGGATGGGTGGATGGATGGGTGGATAGATGGATGGATGGATGAATGGATGGATGGATGGGTGGATGGATGGATGGATGGATGGATGAATGGATGGATGGATGGATGGATGGATGGATGGGGCTTGCTAACTGGCAGCGCCATTTGGCATGTCTAAATCGATACAGACATTAACAAAAAACAATCTTTCTCTGAATGTCAAATAGTTTTTTGAAATGTTGACATCATCCATCTTACCTCTTTCCATTTGTATGCAGCTCCTCCTCAGCGAGCTGCATTGATTTGATAAAGGAATCAGTAAAGTGTAATGGCTTCTGGATGATTCAGCTCGGAAGCATGCGGCAAGAAAGTTTGTCTCCATATATTGTAGCTCTAAGCTTCTATATCGAATTTGCTACTTTGCTTTTTGTTATGTCCGTGATCATCGTGAAGCAGGGATGAGCAACGGCACAGTGAATAATACATCCGTTTTCCGAAGGGTTTCCATTAGCCTCACATAAAGGAAGCAAACTACTATTAACTACTGTGGCTTTTTCTAAAGCCATGACATCCAACACTTCCTGCTCATTATATAAATTTAGAAAAAAGAACACATGTAGTGCATTGAAATTGATGCCAGAAAGGTAAAAAATGATTAACCCTTTATCGGACAGGTGACTGTTTTGGGGAATTTCCGCACATGTTAGTTATAATAAAAAGTTTAGGAAAATGTCACAATGGTAATAAAGTCTTATTATGTTGTCCAATAATACTCTAAGGTTGAATTTTTTAATTTTAAAGTATTTAATTAAGTTCCCTATAAAGGGTTAATGATTAATGATCTTCAACGCATCAATATACGAAAGTTGATGAGAAATCAGGAGTTCACAGGTTTTTTTTTAACGATTTTGTTTTTCCACATAGAGATTTTGCTATAATTCTGGAATAAGGGACAGTGCTGTAACTGCAGGCTTCTGCTCGTTAATGCCGAGTAAATATACTGTAAGGCAGGGGATACAATTCATAAGCTTACTCAAACAAGACGCCACCTATTCAGGAGTCTCTTCAATTTTCAGTCAAGCAGAGCTATCACGTTTGGTGTGTGCAGGAAGCTTAGCCGAGGCAGGTAGCTTATGGGAAGTTCATTGAGTGCTGCAGTGTCCTGTGGGCTTTGTGCACTGCCGAGTTTGATTGTGTGTGTGATGTCCCGTCAGAAAGCTTCGCTCTCTAGTTGGTCATTCGGTACAACCAGTTGGACGGGAGATGTAGTTTCTGGGCAAAGTTTAGAAAAATCTTACAAAAATCCTACAAATAGATTTGACATGGCTCTGTGTCAGCGAGTGCCTCCTGTGGCCCGCATGTAACGGAACCCTGTCACAGTACGGTTATGCCAAACACTGTGAAGGCTGATCGAGATATGTTCATTCAATACAATGTAATGTGAATCATTTTCAGTATATAAACAATGCAAACACAGGCTCCCAAGGTATCGGAGAACAGTACATACACATGCAAAGCATGTCACTTTTTTTTTGTCTTATAGAACTTGTTTTCTGCTGCATTTTTCTACTTTCCTCCCACACAGGGCTATATTACTTTCCTAGTTGGCTCCAAAGCACAAATACTGAATGTTTGGGGTCAAGGATATCTTTATAGTTACAAAAATGACAATGATTAGTCTATAATGGTTTTTACTTTGTGCCTGTCACACAATCGTCTTTAGAAAGTATACGCGTGCTCAAAGATAACATGTTTGAAATTTAGTTTGTCTAATCATGATCACACGCACCTGAAAGTTCATCCATCAGTTGTGCTAATTCATCTGAACAGCTGTGATTTGATCAACAGAAATAGAAAGATAAACGGTTTAATGAGAAAACGCGCACGATAAGTGTTGAGGGCTTTATTGCAGAGGTCAGAAAAGGGGCAGTTTCTTTTTAAAGGGACCCCATGCAGCCTGCTTAAAGGGAAAAACTTGTGTGTGCATCACAGGTGCTAAGATGATTGTCAGTTACGGTTTGTTGGAAAAAAAAAACGATACTGGGATTTACTCACTTCTTTTCATATTTATGTGTCT